TCTTATCTTATGTAAAAAGATATTTTAATTTTAATTATATGATAATAATATTTTATATTTCATTATGTTTATTGTATTATTAACTTAATTTTCACATATACCTTATTTACCGGTAACATATAGAAAAATCTACATTTTCATAAAATAAATTTGACTATTTTAGATAATAAAAGCATGGGTTGGGTTCACGTGAGATCAAAGATTTTTCGTGAGACCCGTAAGACCAATTTATGTTCATTGATCAACTTTATAAGTTAATGATCTAATGGTCTAAATTGCACGGTGGCAATTTTGTGATTATTGAGATGTCTTGTGGCGTTTATGAATCTTCAGATTGTCAAATTGTAAATCTAATCCAAGGGTTGAGAATTAGTCTTACGGGTCTCACGAAAAACCCTTGGTCTCACATGATCCCAAGTCATAAAAGCATTACATGAAGAAACAAAATATAGTAAATATAAAAAATCGTAATTAAAATATCACTTGGGAACAACAAAGTTCTATTCCATATGATGAAATAATACAATATCATTAAAGTGAAACAAATTTACTGTTGTTTAACAATATGAAAACAAAACAAAAATGAATATGAAATGTGATATGAAAATGAGAGTAAAACACTAAGGTTGTTTGACAATGTGAAAACAAAACAAAGTTGATATGAAACGTGACATTAAAGTGAAAGTGAAATACTAAAGTATTTTTTTCATATTGTGAAACAACATAATGTCGTTAATGTTAAACAAGAAATTGTAGTTTCATATTTGTTTCACAGTGTGAAACAATGTAGTATTGTTTTACAATTTGAAAATAATACAAAAGTTGACGTGAAATGTGATGTGAAACACTAAAATTTTGTTTCACATTGTCAAACAATGTAGTTCTGTTTCACCATGTGAAAAGAAACAAAAATGTCACGCCCCGATTTTTTTTTTCTTTTCTATCGAGTGCCGGTGACGTCATTCTTAATAACTTATGTCATGAACAAAAATACGAACTTAAAATTCCAAACACACATAATATGTTTAACATAA